AAGTGGAGGATAGGGGCCAGAGGGGCAGACGACAGCGTCCAATGATGGGAGAAAAAAAAAAAAAAATAATAAAATAAACGTAACATAGTTTCGAGCGATTTCATCTGCAACTAGTAGACTATGTATCCGGTCGCCCCGGTGGTCTAGTGGGTAGCCTCGCAGCCTGCTAAGGGCCAGGTCATGGGTTCGAGTCCCGACAGAGTGAGTTCTTTTCTCACTATATAAATCCTGGTCTTGGATGGAAGCGACGCGCTGCAAAGCTCGTTGTTAGTAAACCATAATCGACTTCGTAAGTCGCGAGGGAAGGAATTGCTGTACCCTTCTCGCGATAAATTACCTCAGGCAGGAACCGCAGGAGGGGGTCCAGCCCCCCCGTCCTATGTGACCCCAGTTGGGTCGTCTAGCTAGTAGAAGTGGAGGGTAGGGGCCAGAGGGGCAGACGACAGAGTCCAATGATGGGAGAAAAAAAAAAAATTATCTAGGTAGACTAGAAGTATAATACATCTGCATAGACTACACACAGCGAGCGGTAGACCAGACCATCGTGTCTCTGCAGATTGTCGATACTTGTTAGTACATACCTGAGCCAGTGACTGAAGAAGATAAGGAGTTTCTTGATGGACTTGCGACGGCTTATCCATGCAGAGGCGACTGACACCGTCACCAGTGTGCACAAGATGCGAACAGGGGTCCAGAGTGCTTCCCCATCTTGGAGGCCGACAACCAAGATCCCGGTTTCACATTTGAGCGTGAACATCTCGGCGAGAAGGACAGCTTGCGCCGCTGATGAGCTCAGCGAGCTATATCCATGAGCCTCAGGAAGAAGAGGAGAGGTCGAGCTCGTGTCCATCGCGAGCAGGTCGCGCCCGACCCAGAGTCTTAACAGGTGATGGTCGTTGTACGTCGAATTTTGTCTCCGCAGGCTTCGAAGATCAGATCGGGGGTAGCATCACCTGTGTGAAAGGGGAGAGTAGTTGATGCAATGGCACAACCGTCTATTATTCGTTCAGGATTCTACACGCAAGAACAAACCGGGAAAACTTAGACTTCGCGTTAAGAACTGGACTTCGCGTTGAAGAACGGTCCCGAACCGACGCGAAACTGCCGATTTGATTCCGAAAACCAAATCAAACACGTCACGGCCTGCGACACCAAACGACCAATCGCCCCAAAAACTTCCTCATCGGCCGCCGCTCCAAATGGGCACTGGTAAGCCCCTACACTGGTGTGCGCATGCTGTGGTGTATGGTAGACATGTTGCCGTTACTCTGGAGCGTGTAGGCAGCACCGCGGCCTCATGGCAAAAAACCGAATCAACACGTCGGAGAGAGAGAACGACGAGCCCTCGGTCACACACACACCCAAAATGCTACGTGTGTCGTGGCGGCTGGCGTACACGTTTGAGACTGCTGTCCCTCGCCTCATGCACGCCCTACTCTACACACACATGCACAGCACGTTGATAGTGCATAGATAGCCAGACGTACAGCAGCAGTAGGGATAGACGAAGAGATACAGGGCATCATCGCGGGTATGCATAGACGGGATGATGGAGAAGAAAGAAGAAGAAGAAGAGCAGGCGGGGCAACAACGAAAAATCAGATCAATCAAGGACAGGCCGATGGTTTGGACATCCATCCGAGCAGGGCGCGCCACCAGCAACGCCTGCCCGATTTACTTGTGACCCTGTCGGCACGCTCTCTTTTGATATATGTGCGGGTCTATTTTGGCTCTGCCTGCACCCTCTCTCTTTCTCGAAACGTGTGCCGTTCGGTGGTCTACACCTTTTTTTTTCGGTCTCATGTATGCATAGATTGCTGTTTTGACCCAACGGCCGCGCTGCATGTAGGAAAAGTGTACATACGTGCTCCCTCGCGCAACAACAACAGCACACGCGAGCATGCCTTTGACCTGAAGTAGCTGACCTTCCACACAGCACGCGCCGAAGTAGTAGAGAGCTGCCCAAACCTAGTGGCAGAAAGGGTTGCGAGGAGAGCACATGCATGTACGTGCAGCAATAGTGCGTACAGGTAGTAGGACCTTCGCCCCCCCTCTGTCAGTGTAGGTATGCGTATGTATGATACTCATGTGTGTTGTCGTACAGCAGCAACTGCTTGCTGCTGTAAGTATCGGCACGGGTGATGAAATGGATGCACTGCTCCGATCCCCGCGGACAGGTCAGACAACACAGGGCCCGAGACCAGCAGTGCGTTGCTGCCTAAAGTCAAGCAGGGGGTCATCCGAGCTTGGGTTTGGTCGCCTATGGAGGACCCATGATGCTGCTGCTGTAGAAGGGAGACGAGCCAACTTCTTCTATTTGCGAGCCAGGTACGGTGCCTCTCTCACAACAACTAACTGCTGTAACACTGTACGCTACTTGTTGTATTGGTGTTTTATATGATGATGAGAAGGGAGGGGATTCGATGTCAACAATAGAACCCACCGGCAGGTCTCGGAAGCATGGTGTACAGACGCTCTACCGCGACTTTGACTGCACGTTGATAAGCACGATGACCACTAGACAACTAGTCAGGGTTGCGGTGCGCTCGCCGTTTGACGAGGGGGATTTATTTGTAGTCTCACAATGAGTTTTGTCTGTCGTCATTCTTGATGTGTTACGTTGATGCTGCTTTAGTGAAGCTCTCGTTCTGCAGCAGTGACCGATACTAGGAGTTGCAATGTGACGAGGTAGATTGTGTTTTGTCGTGGTGCTAGCCACGCTTTTCCTCCTTGGTTGGCTCTGTTTTGCTATGCTGCCACTCCATGCGCCTTGTCTAAGCTGATGATATGTTTTGCCGCGCCTTCCATGGTCAGGGGCGTCGTTGCTTGGGCCACCGCCTGGAATGGAGGATAGGGGAGATGGAAAGAGGCTACACAGGAGTGGAACAGCTTGTAATGGAGGACAGGGAAACATGGGTCGGGGTGGTACCTTGGGAAGCTTTTGAGACGACGTCTGGGATGGCACGTGGTCGAAAGAAGGCGACGCGACGGGGCGGGGATAATAATACGTCCCAGTCGGATTGCAGGCCGTTTCCCCTCCCAAGTCTGGAGCACGTTCGGGCAGCAGTGGAATCCTCTTATTTTGTTTTTGGAAGAAGTTGGCGTAGGATTCGGTGGTAACTGTTAGTTGCGCGTGGGCATGAAGGGTGAAGCACGCACGAGGGACCACACCCGCTCCGCATGCAAGAGTGAGAGGTAGCGGCGCATCAATAATAGTTTCAGCAGTGGTGTGGCAGAAGGTTCTCGCTTTGGCGTTAGTAGCGCCCCTCGTGCTTGCTGTTGTCGCAACAGGATGGAAAACAGCCGCATGATATTAATTAAGGTCGAGAGGCAGCGAGATGGAAAATCCTAGGCACGTTATTCGTGACTGTTTGTACATAATATCTCTGTATACAGCATTGACAACGTCAGGAGACGATGCCTTGCCGTCGTGTTACAGTAACCGTAGGTCAAAATATCATGCAGTAGAGACGCGTGCAAAATTGGTACGCCTCCCATACAATAGCGCGGTTCTCCACTTCGTTTGTCTGGAAGGTCCAACTCTCCAACCCTATTTCGTAGAGAGAGTGCCCACCCAACACAAAAAAAAGTTCCCTTTTTTTTTTGTACTGTACCATTGCTAAAAACCAATCGTCCAAACCCTGAAGGTCTCACTCACTCACATAGAAACAGGGACGATGAAGCGAGGAGATGACAGTGGCCGCCAAGCATTCCGAACAACGCATACGTTGCACACCACACTCCGTCACTCGCTGTAGGTAAACCGAAGCCCGTCCAACAAAGCAAATCATTCCGCACACCGATACCGGTTGGACGTGGCATGTTGATACTGCCCATGAAACGGGTGTCCGCCGCCTACAATTCGTTCTAAGGTGCTGCCACTTGAATGTGAAACGATGCGAAATTAGTCGACGGGCAAAAAACGAACAGAAAAAATATACACCCTGAGAGGAACTGGTGAGGGTGCACTCGGGAGTTCCTCAGTAGACTCAATCATGCTCATGCTCTTCCTGGTACCCCCCCCCCATAAAAAAAAAAGAGTACACCCTCCCAACCCCCTCCCCTCTCCCATTGCCTTTAGTACCGGAGGGGTCTCCACGCCAACGACACAGAGAGCAATTGTTGTTCCTTGAAGACGACCATCTCTCTCTTGCCATTAGTCTACCTATGCAGCCAAAAAACAAATACTAGAAAAAAAATGGTATGGTAGTCGACTTCTCTGAACAACAAGCTCTAGGGACTCCCGCCCTCGTCGTTGCTGGATGATTCCGTTTCCGGCGATTGGTACCATCCAGGACGAACGACAGACAAGCCTGGTTGGACCTGTACCACTGGACCCCGGTTCTTGGCAGCAATTTCCTGGCACACCTTTAGGAACACAGGGAACTCAGTAGAACCGGTTCCCCTGAACTTCGCAACCAGGTTGCTCGTCGAGTCAGTTCGTGCACACCTGTTCCGAACCTCGTGGGTCCCAACGTTATCTTCAGATTCATCCCACAAGGCGTAGAACGCCGGGCAAGATTTGGCAACCCTAAGATAAAGACCAGCGTCGTCGGACACGACGCTCTCTTCGGCCTCCTTGCACATCCGCCTTAGCAGTTGGGTGTCAGCGACGTGAAGGAGTCGCACGTACTGGAGGTTTTGGTCGTCGTCGTCGGGTTGAATCGAAGCATAGGCCTCCTCGCGCGAATCGTACACGATGTACTCCCCCCACACGGGAAGGTCGGAAGCGCCCACCTTGTAGCGCTGGGCATCGAGGGCGAAGAGAGCGACACGAACGCCTAGCTCTTCCGGCGGCTGCGGCACGACATGCGGACAGAGTTGGGGTTTGACGAGTTTGAGACGAACAGGAGCAGGCAGATGGTTTTAACGAACAAGAGGGTAGAGCACCGTACAAACTGGAGAACAGAATCGAGGAAGATATTGCGCAAATTAGTGTGGAGAATTTGCGGCATGAAACGTTGCACGCTACCTACATTCAAGGGTTCGGTGAGACGGCGATTTTTCTTTTGTAATCAGTTCAAATTGTTTGTTTCTGAGAGGCGAAACCAACCATCATGGCCGCCCACCTCCCGACATCCATACATACACATGCCAATATTATTGCAAATATGCAAGACAGCTTCTTGCAACAAACTCACGTCCAGGCGCACTTCCCACTTGAAGTCACGAGCCACATTACACGCCACTTCAATCATGGCTTGGATCCTAGCGCGATCTTCATCCTTCCCGTCTGAAATCAAATTTCGCGTCCAGGTGTCGATTTGGTCGACGATACTTCGCGGGGTGTTATCCGAGGGAATGCCAAGCGGCAGCGTGCCATGGCGGACTTTGTGGATGTTGGTGGCCGGTGATTTCCGCTTTGGAGATATAAAGCAGCAAATTATACAGGAGTTGAGGAAGGAAGGACCGGAGCGGGGGTTGATGGGCTTAAAGAACGCGTAACCTGCACGCAAATCTCGTAACCTGCACGCAAATCTCAAACTTGTAGACTACATATCCATATATATATTGCATTGTAACTTTCCGCACAGACAGTCATCGCACGTATCCCCCACGACGTTCCTATAACAAATACCAACGACGGCAGGAAAGCGGACGCATTACCAAGCAAAAGGAAGTTGAGCAAGTCGACCTACACTTACTGGGGGGGGGACCTGTGTTGTGATGGATGTGCTGACAAGGGGAAAGCCGTAATGTATGTCGCTATTGCGCAACAAGTATCCTTCGGGTGCCCACCATAAATATTCCCATTCTCCAGGGGTCCTCGAAGGCTCGCTCCGCCCGTGTCATGACGCCTTCGCGCTCGTTTGGGTCCGTGATGAACAAGCCCCACATTCCGCCCGTACTTCAGTGCTGTCTCTATTACACCGTCCTTGTCGGCGGTAAGCGTCATGACGGTATCCCCTTGCTTCGTGAAACTTGGGGAATGCATAAAACGACAGAGTGTACAGAACTTGTCAGGCATGAGGTACGGTAGGGCTTGTGCGGCATGTGGAATTCTGGTACTTGGCACTCATCGAACGACGGTTAGGGCGTGCAGGTATGGTCTCAGTTGAGGAAAGACGTCAATCCCCCGTACACCACCCGCACAACAACACATAGTTTTTCCATCCTGCCGATACGCCCCCCCCCCTCGTACCCCATGTGTTTGCCATCGGGATTGGGTTTTCGTCGCTTGGCAACGACGTTGTAAAACAAGCCGCCCCCCCTGGTGTTTACCATCGGGATTGGG